GGGAAATAGGAGAGATCTAATATCACTGAACTTCAGGAAAGCCTTTGATGTAATGTCACATGGGGAACTGTTACTTAAGATAGACAGGATGGATATGAATGCATGAAGGATAAGGAGATTTGCAAGCATCCGCAGGAGGAAAGGCTGATCAGAAGCAGCCATCATGGATTTATGAGAAACAAATATCATCAAACAAACCTGATCTCCTTTGACAAAGTAACTACGTGGGTGGATGAAGGGAATGCAGTGGATATAGTGTATCTGGACTTCAGCAAGGCTTTTGACCAGGTCTCACATGCCCTTCTCATAAACAAATTGGAGAAATGTGGGCTCGTTAAAACTACTACAAGGTGGATAGATAACTGGCTCGATAGCCATAAGCAAAGGATAACTATTAACAGGTCCATGTCAGAATGGCAGGAGGTTTTGAGTGGAGTCCCACAGGCACCTGTCCTAGACCTGGCGCTGTTCAACTTGTTCATTGGATGTTGACATACAAAGCTTCTTGAGCAAGTTTTCAGAGGACATGAAACTGGGAAGGATTGTGAGCACATTGGAAAATGCGAGCACAATTCAGAAGGATCGACAGATTGGAAAGTTGGGCTAGAGCTAGCAGAATGATGTACAATGCAGACAAATGCAAGGTGCTGAACCTCAGGAGGAATAATCAAAAATACAAAATAGGGGACAGCTGGCTGGATCACAGCTCTATGGAAAAGGACTTGGGAGTCTTGGTAGGTCACAGACTCAGTATGAGTTTGCAGTGTGATGTAGCTGCATTTTTAGTTTACATCAATAGAAGCATTAGGTGCAAGACACAGGAGTTGATAGCACCTCTCTACTCAGCACTGGTTAGGCCTCACCTGGAGTAGTGCGTGCAGTTTGGGGATCTATGGTGTAAAAAAAGATGCAGAAGAGTTAGAAAGGGTCCAGAGGCAGGTAACAAAGATGGGGCTTGGAAGGCAAGTCAGATGAGGAGAAGGTGAAGGAGCTAGGCATGTTCATCTTAAGGAAAAGAAGCTTAAGATAAGACAAGACATCAGTCTTCAAATACTTGAAGGGATGCCATAAAGAAGAGGGAAAGCATCTTTTCTCTCTTGCTGCAGAGAGGAGGATGTGGACCAATGGCTTGCAGTTGCAGCAAAGTAGATTTAGATCGGATATCCAAACCTCTTCACTGTAAAATTAGTGAGACCTAAGGAAGTTGTGGACTCTCCATCATTGATACTAATGAGCTGGGCACAAAATTAAGAGTGAGCTATTGAAACTTTACTGATCACATGAAGTTGGGAGGCATCATTGGCACATGTCATTCAGAAAATCTTGAATGACCTTGAGACCTGGAGCATTCAGGATGGGACAAATGAGATTAAATCTATTAATACAAAGTACAAGAAAACTCATTTAGTGTTACTCCCCATTTGATAGGCATATGAAATGCCTTGGTGCTGGATTTGAATTCAGAGACCAATAACAAGAATTTCTGGTAGAAGCTGGGTGCTTATCGGCTGGAAGTGAAAGAAAAGGAGAAAGACCTGCATGTATCCGCTGCTTATAGGATGACTATGAGCTGCCAAAGTGATGTTGCTCTGAAAAAGGCAAATACAATCCAGGGATGAATCAGTCAAGGTAGTGTTTGGAAATGCCATTGCCCAAGGTAAGCACTCATTTGGACTGCTGTACACCTTGCATACAATTCTGATTACCTATGTTCAAGAAAGCTTAATTCAGGTTGAAAAAGGTACAAGGAGGGGCTACTAAATTGACTGGGAAGAAGAGAGCCAATATTATGAGAAGTGACTAATAGGGCTTGGATTGTTTAGTTTAGCAAAATACAGGCTGAGAATGGATATGGTTGATCTCTATAAACTTGTTGGAGAGCATCCATTAGGGAGGCAGAAGGGATTTTTAAGCTAAAGGACAATATTGGTACAGGAAAAATTAAGTATAAACTGGACATGGATAAATTCAAACTTTGGGATTAAAAGGTTTTGTAACCATCAGAGCCTTATACAAACTTCATAAAGACATATGCATTTTTATGTGTGAGTTGGCAACACCATATCGCCAACCCTGTGGGGAGAGGGGCTGAGTATAAAGGGTGTCAGGCTAGAAACAGCAAAGGTGATATCTATTTTGAAAAACTCATGACATTTTGGGGCCAGACTCAGGATTTTGTGTGCAACTCAGCTTTGAATACTTGGGGTTCGCCATAGCATGGGACTGTTAGGATGCCACTGATGGGAATGATGGGATAGGAGGCAGGTAGGTGGGTGTAACCACAGGTTCATAGATTCATAGATGCTAGGGTTGGAAGGGACCTCAACAGATCATCAAGTCCGACCCCCTGCCTAGGCAGGAACGAGTGCTGGGGTCAGATGACCCCAGCCAGATGCCTATCCAGCCTTTTTTCTTTTCTCTTCTATCTTCCCTTTCTCATCTTGAACCCTTTCTGGAATTCCCTCTCCTTGGTCTCCCAGCTCCATCCCTGGACATATCCTACCACAGAGCATTCCCACTGCCCAATTCCAGGTGACCTCAATTGAAAATCTCTGGGTTTGGAAGTGAGGACAAGCACCATTTTGTGCACCTGTTCTCAGGCATCTGTCATCTTACACATTTTTCTGGCCTGAAAGGAGAGCATCCATCCATAATTTGTATTTAGTTAAAGAGTTTCTGATACAGGCAGAAAGGAATAAAAAATGATTGGTTGTTTAGTGTGTCACTATGTGGGTAGGCCAACATGGGAGTATTTAATAATGAACCTATTCACGTGAATACTAAGTTCTGCCATAACCCAGATCACTACGCATGGATAATGAATGAAGCGGCATGTAGGTCAACACTTAAATCAAGCAAACTTAAATGGCCACACATCTGATACACACTGTAATCTCTTCTCATTTGGGAGGTCTTATAGGCTCAGGTCAGAGGTTACACACAAACCGGTCTAAGTGATCAGAAACTGGTTTAAACCTGTCACAGAACAGAAGCCCAGTGCACATAAACCAGTTTCAAAATGGCTGAAACTGGTTTAAGACAAACCTGGTTGAACGCAGTATCAGACTTAACTGATTTGGGTCAAACCGGTTTATAGAATTTATGTCCTAGACCCCTTCCTGGTTCAAGTTAAATCACAGTCCCCCAGCATCCCAGCATGCTTTCCAGCCATGGGCTGTGCTGTGCTGTCTGCTCCAGAGAGCAGGGCTGGCCCCACCCCTGTGCTCCCTAGTTGGAGCAGTAAGGACTGGCTGACAAAGCGGGGTGGGGGACAAGCCTGGCTGGGGATGCAGCCGAATCTGTAGGAGAGGGGGACTGCCCCCCCTAGGCAAACCTCGCTGGGGTCCAGGGCCAGGGATGGGGGTTAAACACCTCTTCCCCCCACTCAAACTTACCTGCTGGCTTCAATTGTGGACTACAAATCCCAGAGGCACCTGGAATCAGGAAGAAGAAGTGATGAGCAACCCTGCAGAGTCCTGCTGCTGAAATTCTGGACTGCAAATCCAAGAGATCTCAGGGGCAGTAGGAAGAGGAAGTGGATACATAGCTAGAGAGCCAGGCTCTTGCATCCTCCAGCTTTTTGCCTGAACTACTGCAGGCATAGGGTTGCCAGCCCTCCTGGACTGGCTGGGAGTCTACTGGAATCAGCATCGATCTCCCAGTGACTATTGAAAGCAAACCAGGAGATTTTGATAGGATATTTTAAGAAAATACATTCAATTAATGAGATTATGTCATGTTGGAAAAATAAATCTCCCGGAATAGCTTCAGTCAGAATTGGCAACCCTATGCAGGCATGTGGCTGTATTTCCTGAATCAAAGGTAAATGTCTGTTCACTTCTGTTTCCATTTAAACTGTGCAGTTTAGACTAACCTGAATTGATTCAGCTTTAGGCTTTTTGCCTTTCTGTAATTAGCCATAGAGGGTGAGGTTTTGGGGTTCCCAGGAAGGCTTTGGCAAAGAGTGTTTGGGATACGGGCTGAAGAAGCATTTGGCACTTTATAAAACTCCTATCAAGGCAGGAGAATGCCAGGCTCAGCAGGTAGCTTGGAAAGTAGGTTTTGGGGCCTAGGGAAATATTGACAGGGAAAAAATGCCAGGGGCACAGGGAAATCCAAAAGAGGGGTGGGTGGGATAAGGTCTTGGGCTAATAAGAGGATCTGATTTTGGCAGTTTGGACCTTAGGCTAATCTTGAGAAGGGCAAAGAAGATGTAGGGGCCATGGAGCTGGTGGAGCATACAGAGCACCTAAGGTCTGGGTAAAAGCTGGTTCTACTCCCATATTGCTAATTTTAATACAAGACCCTCCTGACCATTCATCAAAAGATAAACTCAAACCATGCTGCGGCTCTCAATGCTCCGAGCCCTGATGCAGCCTGCTGCTGCCACCCCTAGGCTCTGCCCCTGGACCCTGTGATGTCTCACCCACCTTTACCCCTATCCTGAAAACTTTTTCACCCCAACAGGGAGCACCCATAGCTTTCTGAGTGTACTGAACCTGTCTCATCACAGCGGTGCCAGGCACTGAGCTGTCCGCACCCCCATGGAGGGTGAGCGTGGCTTCTCTTTCTGCACTGGGGCAGTACTTTTAAATGCATTTGAATCCATCCAGCGCAGTCGGAGCAGCTGAGTTTTCAGTGCTGCTGCACTGAGGGCTTTTCAGGAGGAAGGGGAGTCTATTTTTGCAAGGGGCAGTAGGAGTAGGTGGGGCTGGCTTGGCTTTAAGCAGCAGCAAGATGCAGGGAGATACAGCTTATACTGCAGGGCTGGAAAGAAAGATGTGGGCACTCAGGTAGGGGCTGGGGAGGAGATGGCAGGACTCTCCAGGTCCCCTAGAAGCGGGGAGGAGGAGCACCCAGCAGGGGAGGGAAGTGCGGCACTATCCAGAGGAGAGAAAAGCAGGGGCGGGCCTTGGGAGGTGGGGAAAGGCTAAGGCAGCTCTCGCAGCCTCACAACAAGGCAGAGAGAGTGGAGGGGGATGTACCGGCTCCAGCTGAAGATGCTAAGTTTGTTCTGGCCACTGCTGCCTCTGGTAAGTGCCCTGCAGCCAGGGAGGGATGGGGCAGGGGCAGGGGGGTACTTGGCTCTGGGATCTCTGCAGCTGGATGGGGCACTGCTCCCTCCCATCTGCGTGGGAGGGGGCAGGCAGGCTGCTGTGGCACATCTGGATCTTCCAGGTCAGGCTGCTGCTAGCTCCTGGGATGCAGATGTGAGAACTCGGATAGCCTTGGAGGTAGGCAGGGAAGGCAAGGAAAGAGTTCAGGGGGCAAAAACCAAAGAGTTTTGCTTTGCCAAGCAGAGTTTCCCAGACCCAACTTCCCCAGCCTGAGATTTTGCATAAGGCAGATGCAAATCTTCCGGTGACTTGTATCAGGGAGAGCATCTGTGTCACAGCTTCTAAGAGGGAGATGGGTGATATCCTCCCCCCCTCCCACATATACTGATGCTTCCTTACTAAAATGCAGCTACCTTGAGCGGTATCAAGCCCAAGGCTTCACTTTATGGACTTTTATATGAGCACACTGCAAGCAGGAGATGTCGCTGTCGCTGGGGAAGACAGGACCAGACTGCTTTCATTCAACTAAGGCCAGGTAGCAAGAACAGTGAGGATACCAGTGCCATTGACTATCAGATCAGTTTTGGGTCCCCAGTGGGCTTGGATAGCTCACATTGAAGTCCCTATAACTATAGCTTTGCTGCTGTTGTCACCTCTGCCAGGCAGATTAAAGGTAGCTCAGATATGCCTACCCTGACTGCAGTCCTTGCTGCAAATTGCTCTGTGGACATGCCCAAAATGTCAGAATAGTTTGTGCTTTCTATGGGGCCAGTCAGGAATCAGTAACCCCATTCTGCACAGACGTCTGGACTCAACTCTGTACCTGTAAATCCTCAGTTTCAAGTTCAAATATAACATTGCATGTCAGTGCTGATGATCAGGATGTCAAATGCTCTTCTGGGCAGGGTAAAATATACTGCACAGAGCTCTAGGCTTTCATCGATAAGCTGCCTCTGGTACCCGAGCCTGCTGTTCAAAGACTAACTGGGGTGTCTGCATCACACTGCGGTACAAGCTTAAAATGAACGCTTCATATACATCTGTGACCCACCAGCTTTCTACTTATTATAACAGACAGCACCGAACCTAACATATGTATCAGATGGAAAGACATGACCAACATTGCCAAGTAGGTACCACATAGCTTGTGGCACCAGATTCTGACTCACATTGGAGCCTCGGATGTACTTTTGACGAGCGTTATTCATCTTTCACATCCCGCACTAAGTTTGACAAGAAGCAATGGAGACGAAGCAGAAATGTTGGGAGACCCCCACCCCCCCAAATCCAAATCATGTTGAGAAAAAGCAGGAAGCGAATGGTGGGAGGATTATCCCAGCAGGGATTTTTTAAATATATAGTTCCGCAGAAGGGACAACAGACTCAAAGCCTCAGTCATGCAAAACGAAAACGTCTTTTGTGGTCTTGGGATCCCTACACTCCCTTTGTCTTCAGTTGGAGTTCATTTGCTTTTAAGTTCCTGGGATGCTCAGCACTATTTAGCATTCGTTCCCTTACAGAGCGGGCTCTTGATGATGTTCAAGTTACTCCTTATTTGTAGGGCGGCAGCTCTGAGAAATTCAAGCGACCCGTTCTGTGGGCACTACTTGAACACCCAGTGAGAGACGCTGTCTTCCCCTGCACGCACTTTACAGTCCAGATAGACAAAGGGCAGGAAAAAAAAAACAGAGGAACAACCAAATGAAATGATTTCCCCAAAGAAACACAGCAGGACGGGGACAGAGTCAGGGCTAAACCCCACATTTTCTGATTCCTAAGCCAGTGTTTGATTCACTGAGCTACACCTGCATCCTTAGCCAAAACCGCTTCTCACGGTTACTAAGAAAAGAATTCTGTTTGAATCAGTTGAATGAAGGTAATTATAGAAACGAGAAGGGATCGTTACTGAATCATAAGGTAGGATTGGTATCGCATTTCTTGGAAAGATAGACACAACTGGGGCATTCTCCTCCAGAGGGACATACCGACTTCTTTCTCGAGTCTAATCTTCCTTCCGTGGCACACCTCACACTTCCCTCCACGTACGACTGTGGATGCACAAGGAATATGAGCACAAGCCCTTAGTATAAAGTTACGTGAGCCCCTTGACAGTAGAAACCGATCCTAGCAATGGAGAGTACGGTGTGCTAAATGGCACGATGCAGCTCTGGTTAATAATGATTTTTTGAAGCGCCAGTGAAAATTCAATAGTCTACTTATTTTAGTATCAAACTAATGAATTATATCTCTTTTTTCTTGCCCAAAGGTAATGTATTTAAAATGTATGTTTATAATATATATACACAGGGCATATTGATACGTCTGTATTTCCAAATACACAATGCTTGTGTGTGTCTGCATGAATGTGTGTATATAGCTGTGAGTAGACATGGGTAGATAGATGGATACTGTCTGCTACGATTGAGAACCATTGCAGCATTGCACCAACCTTTAAAAAAAACAATCTTGAAAAGGAACTTCTATAATGAAGCCTGCAAGGCAGTCAGTGAATCAGCTTGTCTTACTCCACAGGTAATCAAGTGAAGAAAAGAGGAAACACATTGACAATGCCCCCTAGCCTGTCATGTTCAGTCAAAAAGACTCCCGAAATAACCTAATTAACACACTGAAGAGGATGACTGGAAATGTGTGGTTACATAAGGGCGTAGGGTGTATTCTGGATCAAGTACACGTAAGACATTGCAAGTGGAGGCATTGTTTGGTAACTTTCCGGGTAGCAAGTAAATGGGATTTTAAAATAAGCCCTGTCATCTCAGTGCCTACAGCTCACGAGAGCCAGGAGTAAGTGGATGGTTTGGGTGAGTTCGGACTCTACGGGACCATTACCCATTTAAAAACCAGATCTGAGTGTTGGAACTCGTTTCTCGCTCTAGAAATGCTCAGCTAGTTTTCATGGTTTTCCTTTCCTGGGCTTTAAGCATTGAGCTCTTTCTTTTTTTGCAATTTCCAAAGCAAAGCAAAACAAAGCAAAGCACCTGCATCTGGGACTCAAAGTCAGCATATTTTCAAGGTCACTCATGTTTCCCTTAAAAAGAGATCTAGAGCAGGTGCAGACTCCCGGCTCATACATACCATTCCCCAGCCAGTATTACCAATACCGTTTGTACCCAGCCCACCACGGTGAGTCAGTTTGAAGCTTGGGAGAACAACTCAGCCCCGGTGCTAGGGCAAGATCTATGCATGTGAGTTATTCTTAATCTGGTTTATTATTACTATTCCACTTGAGTGGTATGGTTTAATCCTGTCTTGAGTACGGGGGTGGACTAGATGAACTCCTGAGGTCCCTTCCAGTCTTATGATCCTATTTGCATTACTGTGGTGCCTAGCAAACCTGTACTTATGGACTGGAAGTCCACTTTGCTAAGCATGATGACAACTTGGAGCAGGAGGACAGTCACTGCCCCGCAGAGCTTCTAATTTAAGTATAAGAGAAGACTGAGGATGCAGAGAGATGGGGAGCACAAGGAAATAATTAGACACCATTGGTCATAGGATATTAAGAGCCTAACTGCTGAAAAGATAATGTTGAGGCAAACTTTGGACTTTGTAGGAAATTCTTATAGATGGTAGTTAAGAGGTTATAGGATATTTTTACAGCATGGTAATATGCTAACAAAGAGATGATGTCATATTCACCCTCCCCCCCACCCCGCCCCAGTCACAGTTTTAAAATACCCCAGGGGTAACAATTGTAGATACAAAGAAAGATTATTAAGCAAAGATTCAGAATGAGGCCCTCACTTCTGTAGATAGTGGCTGGTGCAAAGGGTGAGCACAGGGTAAGGGGATCTGAAAGCCCTAATTTCCCTGCAGGGAGGATTTCCCTGGTGCAGGCATTGTGTAACTGAGCCATCAAGTTCTTCCCCAAGGACACTCTTGCAAGTCTGGATCACTATTTTTGCCATTAGAGTAGCTCCAGGAAGCTGATATAATTTCAGAAGGGCTTCAGGATGCTAGGGACCACAGACCAGGAGAGGGCTGATGTATCTTCAGGGGTGGGGGGAGTTGCCTGGTCTGGGGTGGGCTGATGGTAAGGTGAGCAGCTGGGCTTCCTCAGACCCAGGCCTGCACTGGGAACATATATAGGACTTTGTGAGATTGGGTTAACCCTTTCTTAGGTTGTAACCCAATCTCAATCTAAGTTAGTACATCTACTCAGGTGGATGCACCATTTTGGCGTAATTTAAGCCCTCTGCACCCCAGTACAGTTACGCATTTAGATCAACCTACCCCTGGTTAGGTCAGTCTAAACATAACACCTGTACCATTAAAGAATTCCCCTAAATTGCTCCATATATATACTGGGAGGATACTGGGAGTATTGGAATGATAGTATACTGGGAGCATTGGAGATAAAGTGATTGGGAATATACTAGGAGTATACTGGGAGTATTGGAGTTATAGTAGACTGGGAGTATTCTGGAAGTATTGGAGTTATGGTGTACTAGGAGTATTGGAGTTAGAGTGACTGGCAGTATACTGGGAGTATTGGAGTTATGGTATACTGGGAGTATTGGAGTTAAAGTGACTGGGAGTATACTGGGAGCACTGGAGTTTGAGTAACTACCGGCCACCTAGGAGGGGCTGACATGAATGGATCCTGACGGAGGTCTGAGCTTAATCCAAAACCACACCAAAGTGAAAAAAAATGGTCAGATCTGCATGGACCATAATTTTTTTTTTGTTGCCTTTCTCTTCAGCGGGGGGCATGGTTTTCTTCCTGGCATCATCTTGTGTGTATTTTAACAATCAGCGGATGCAGAGCATTGACCGTGTCCTCGTCCCCCTGCTTTTTTACCTGTGGGCAAGGTAGGGTGTTTGTGGTGTTTTAGGGTATTGTGTCTGGGGGTTGTACAAGAGGGTTGCTCGTGCAGTTTTAATAACCTGTGCAGCATGGTTGAGGCAGGGATTATTCTGCCTTGAACTTGGGGTTGGACTAGGTGACCTCTTAAGGTGTCTTCCAGCCTTATGTTTCTGGGATTCTCTGATGCTGGGACTGCCATTGACTTCAGAGATCTACAGTGAGAGCTCCTCCCCAGGGGTGCTTATCATGTTACAGAAAGGGGTTGGAAAGCAGTGTGCATGATGAAAAAAATGCGATCCTGAACAATGTCCTACTTCTTGGAGAACTCATGAAAATGAGCTATAGAAGGAGTGGCTGTACTTGGACATCTCTGGCCAGTGTACTAAATAAAATACCCCAGGAAAGCAATTAAGAAAACATAGGGGCTAAAAGACGGCTCACAATATAAAATGAACTCAGTTTATGTAGTGCAGTGCTTTTGCTGTGTCTCAGAACACCGTGCAGGGTTTAATCCTCCAAGGAAGTGACCACTGTATGCTATAGACAGTACACAGCCATGGTGTAAGGATGTGGTACAAGGTCCTCAGAGCTTGTTCAGAGGGATAGAGAAATTAAAATGCTCAGGCAGAGAATATGTAGATATGTTCAGGTGAGAGCTGAAAGTATATGGGAGGTGAAAGTACACAGATGGCTTGACAAAAAGGACCAGTAGGGAACAGCACTGTGAAATATATTCACACCTAGTGATTTATGGATTTGGTGGAGAAATTACTGTGTGAGGGTTTCTGGGCTGTGCTAAGTAGGTGGTCAGATTGGATAGTTATAATGATCCCATCTGGACTTAGGAGCGATGCGTTTGTTCAGTGAATTTAATTCTTTCTTCCCTAGGTAACTAATTGGGGACAGACTTTAATTATTGCAAATGTATTCCTGACTCTTGAATCACTCTGGGGTGCATTTTCCAAAAGTGCTGGTGGCACTGTAAAGGGGCCTGACTTTTCTGAGAGCAGAAAGACTCTCCCTGCCTTTTTCCAAGTGTCAAGGGAGTTTTAATGAGCAAACATTATCAGGATCTTTTTTTGAGGCTTTATCAAAATAACAAGGCTTCCAGCACTCTGGCAGCCCCTGAGTCGTTACTTTTGGGTGGGCTCCGAGGAAAGGCGGCAAACACCTTCTGGACATGCAGGTGCTTCTTGGCAGATCTCCCTTCCAAGTGTTTGCTGGATTTGACATTCCTCATTTCAAGGTATCAGAAAGGATTGTAGCCCGAGGGAGCCACTGCTTGTGATCTTACTGTTACGGTGCAGGTGATCTGGCATCCTACAAAAAAAACCAAAACGCGGAAGGAGAGGGTTCCTATTATATCCCTTTTTATTTGTATAATACTGGAATCATCTTTGCTACCAGCTTTTTGGTGTTATGATGATGACTGATAAGCCAGGTTCAGCCAGACGTTATCCCAGGGTTTCTATTGTCCTCAATGGAACTCGGTCCTAGTTGAACGTTCCTTCTTCATGGATGACCCCCGTGATCTCTCGTTCAGAGAAAAAGGGTGGTACAGCAGTCAGGACACGAATCTGTGATTGCAGGGGAAAGTTTTCTTAACTAGGTTTTTTGTACAACCCTTAGGTTGATCTCTTAAGCTCAGGCCCACAAGGATGTGTCTTTTTGGGAGTGGTAGAGTACTTAGCCACAGCATTGAGGAAATGTGTTCCCACCCCTCAACCCATTCCCACACTGTACTGTGGGAAATGAGGAGATCAGGAAGCCAATGGGCACTGTTAACCACTACCCTTGAGTATGCTGAAAAACCTGTACTGGTGGGACACCTAATACCCTTTCTGGGTACGGCCCTATGTCCCCAGTACAAGATCCATGGTGCTGTGCTTGGTACCCATATTCCATAAAGAAAGTGCGAGGAGAGTTGGGTACTTCAAAATGGGATTCACTGAACCTCGCTCGCTGAGCAGGAAGCTTGAACTAGCTATCAGGAAATGCTAAACACAAGGGTCCGTCTTAAATCCTCCACCATTTGGAAAGAGAAAAACCCCAGTGGGAGTTGAAGCGAGGTGCCTATGTCAGCTCATGCTCACAGCCCCAAATTCACTTCTGGCCTTAGACAACTAAATTGTAGCATTCGAAGAGGAACAGGGGTTTCTCTTTTTATATACTAATCCCTCGATGGGTAAAGCCGTCCCCCAAAGGGTAGCGTATGTGGGTTCTAGCCCTATTTTTGTCTCAGGGGGCACGTCTACACATGCAATGAATTCAAATCAGTAAACTCCGGCACAGTTCGTACCGAATTATTGCTCCCGGGGGCTGCGTTTGAACATCCTAGAGGTTGATAGGTGATGGTGAACAGGAAATATATACTACTCCAGCTCATCCCCCAATGTACATCAGCATACCTCCTACAACAGACGGATGCTAGTTTGTGTCAGCTGATGACCTGCCCTGGTGTGCAATACATTGCCAGCCTTCAGAAAATGTGATTTGACTTTTTTGAAACTTCTTCATGATGGGGCAAGAGTTCCTGGGAATGGTATCTTTTCTTGGGCTGACTGCAAGGATGCCTAGACATCGGCTGGCTTTCGGGTACCACTGCACGCTTCCTCAGGCCTAAAGAAGAAAACTTGCCTGTGTCTATCATAGAAGCGTCCCTGTGTGTAGCCCAGCCACGCTGTTGGTCCAATAAAAGGCATCACCTGCAAGAAGTCTTGCCTCACCCATGCTTCTTGCACCAACACCTGAACACTGCCTTCTTCATAATGACATTTTTACCTGCTCAGATGCAGCATCAGTGGACTGAAAAGTGAATTCACGTTGCTCTGTCTGCCCTGTTTTCAAGCCATATCAAGTCATTTCCCATGTTTGTGTCTTCCATGTCCTTCTACCCGTGGGTGGATCCAGGATCACGGTGACGGGGGTGCGGCCACAGCCCCTTTGGCAGTGTGGCATATGTGCAGTGAAGAGCGCTCACTGTACATGCGCCACATAGCCATGCTCTCTCACAGTGACCCTTGAAGCCAGAGAAGCAGTGGCAGAGCCCAGGGGTAAGAGCTGCCGCTATTTGCCTAAAAAACTTCCCAGCAAAATGTTACAGACATCAGAAGCAGCAAAGAAATCAGCTTGTTTGCAGCCAACCAGCTCCATGTGCTCTTTTAATTTAAATGGGCTTCTGTTATAATCATCCTGTTATGGCTGCTAATGTTGTTAGTTTGTGGTGCCAGCATGGAGCAAAATTCAATTTATTTTGCCATATAAAAAATGGAAAAGCAGCATTGTGTTCAGCCTTGAACGGTAGCAATTCAGAAGCGGGTTCCTTTTGTTGAACAACAGGAAATACTATTTTAAGGAGCTGTTTAGGATGTCTTTTTTGTGTATTTAAGGTTACCCACAGCTGGAGTATAATAGAAGAAAAAGAAAAGAAAAAGAAACCCTTCTTCTCGCACGTCTTCGTTTTCGCTTTATGTTAACATAAATTTAGAAGAGGAGAGGAATTCAATGAGATATGCTCCAGTGCTGCAGATTTGAAGGGGGTATAGCTAATATAAGACCACAATGTAGGTTGCTTAAAGGACTTTTAAAGGTGAAATGCTCTTCATATTTTCTAGGTGTACATTATTCTTCATTTTTAGCAGTCTACAGAGCGGTAAATACAACCCAGAGTAAAAGTAGGATTCAGTTTTCTCAGAAAGTTGCATTTATGGTCAACAAGATCCCATAAAAGAAACCCTCGGTAACTGGTCCTTATTCTGTCAGTCAACTTCTTATGCTATAAAAAAAAAAAAAGAGACGTAGAAGTTATTTCGGAATTTAGAAACCAAAGGGTAACAATGGTTTAAGAAGCTCATGAAAACTCTTCCACATCTGTTTTACAGCTCACCTGCTGAATAATGCAAGCCACAAATATCAGACACATGCACTCAGCCAGCAGGACTTCACACCGTGGCCTTTCATTTATTGACCAACTGTTGTTGACTCGTTATATCACACCACTACCAAAAGGCCACAAATAAAACTGGGAACCTGTTGTATTAAAATCCCGGGCAGAAGGTCAGATCCAGTCCTAAAGAGCTTCCAGTCTAAATTAAAGGGTGTGTTTTTTCAACTCTAACATCTAGATTCTTAAAAACCACTCTGGGCAGTTTAGGGATAGAGCTGAGGGAATAACAGCTTTTTTGGATCAGTACAAAAAACCCAGAAAATACAAGAAAAATGTTGTGTCGGTTGAACTAAAACAGTGTCCTCATAAAAAAAAAAAAACAACAAAAAAGCTCACCTTTCTGATCAACTCAAAGCTTTTTTGGTTAATTCAGAATAAAAATATTTTAATTCATTTTGGGGCTATTTGGGGCTTTTTTCTTGAAATCGGTTTTCTACCAAGAAATGCCATTTCAAAATGAGGAGCCGAGCTGGTTTGCAATGATCAAAGTAAGACATTTTGACATCTGCAGAGTGACAAAAAACATTTTGAAAATGTTAAAATGAAATGTTTTGAAATTTTCAAAATTTCCCTCCCCCCCCCCGCCCCCTTCTTTTTGGCCAAACTCTTTTTTTCCCAGCAAGTTACTTTAAATTACCCAAACTTCATTAAACATATAATCACAGGAAATAATCACTAACATCTGAATCAAACAATGACCCATTTCTATCTTTTTATTTTTTTTTTGATTCAGGTTGCCTCTATCCATCCAGAATGCAGGATATTCCAGCAGGTGGTAAAAGATGAAGCTCTCTGTTTACAGAAAAATGAATCAATTTTATCAGATTTTGAAGGTAAGAGACCTAGGACTAATGATACCAATCGTGACAAAGTTGGGTCTTCCTATAGCTTTCATAAAGCAAGCGTGGCTTTCCTGAGCCAAGAGAAATTTTCCCATTGCTTATGATTGGAAAAGAATTTGTGCCTTGAAGAATAAGGTTGTTTTTTGTCTTTTGATTGATTAATGTCAATCAGTAGTCAGATGTGTGCGGGCCGGGAGCAGTCCGAGGCTTTCGGGGGCACGAGGCGGGCTGTGGCCGGGAGCCCGCAACGGTAGGGCGGGTACTTTTGCACGACGGACTAGAATTAGGCACGGACTCGTAGCGGTTAATTAAAGATTGTTTTACTTACACCGTAGGTGGTCGCGGTGCAGGCAGGAAAAACTTTCTTGAGGTGCAGTTACAGGCAAACACAAATGGAGTTTGCTCGGCTCCACCGAAGACACACGCACGGAGTTTGCTAGGCTCCACAAAAACAAACACGACAGAGCTCTGGATACCCTTGACGAGCACACAAAACCATAGATACATCTTAAGAATTTAACGAACGAGACAGGAAGAGGTTGGTGGTTGATCAGGCCGCCGAACTCCTCTGAGCTGCACACAAAGTTTCTATTACTCTGCCGCGTGCTCAGAGTCCCCACGAGATGGTTGTGGAGTCCTCTACAACTTGGGCGGAAACTGCTCAAACCTCTTATACGACTAGCAAGCCAATCGCTAGTCGCCACGTGGGAATAATTTAGAAACAGCCAATAGTGGGAAACAAATTTACATACGGGTGGCGGGAACTCCTTTGCACCGGGGTTTTCTCTCTGCAGCTGAGAATTGCACCGTGCAAAGAAAGCTCCATGTGGCGGGAAATAATTCTGCAGTGCCGAAGTGCGCACACAATCATTGGGTCATGACAAGATGCATTGAGATTTTCTAAGTATAATTGAAAATGGAACTTTAAAGCAAACAAAACCAATTCTTCCCCAGTATTATATAAAGGCTAAAACAAGGGTCAAGATTTTTTAATGTACCTGACTAGGGATTTGGAAAGCTTTAGTTTTCAGACCATCCAACCAGAGACACTTTAAAGAGACCTAGTTTCTAGCAGGATGGATTCCCAACACTTTCTTAAAACCAGACCTCTCATATGTGTAACAGGTTGGGTACAATCAAATAGCAATCCTGAGCCACGTTTGAAAATTTTGCATTTTGAGTTGCTTTTATTGTCTCAGAACTCAATAAAAGCTTTCTTAGGAGCTTTTCTGGGCAGTGGAGAGAAGGAAAGCCCTGGGGTTAGGGTGCTAATGAGAGATTTGGGAAAGCCATTGAAAGTCATTCTCAAATTTTGCATCTTTCTGGCATTAAGGTTAGTATCTGCCTAGAATGCAGGGGCCGGTTCTTATAGTTAGTGTTTCATAGATGCCAGCATGCCTGGGATTTTTCTGTAGTCAACACGTCATGACCATCGTAAGGTTTTTTGAGAAATATGTGAGGTTATTCCTACATGTCTTAGATGAAATTTTAGCCCCATTAAAGTCAAAGACAGAACTCCCATTGATTTCAACTGGTCAGGATTTCACCTTTTGCATCATTTCCTTCAAATCAGCTAAGGTGTAGCTGCTACAGGATACAATGATGAAATAACAGGCCTATATAGCTAAATTTGACTATATAGCTACATTTGCCACTGACCTGATCTGTATGAAACCTAGGCTGGGAATGCTGCCAAAGTGCTAATTATTACTGTCAACACCTTTCTTCTCTTGTTGCCTTGTGTTGTTTTACCAACTAAAAAAAAATCTCTCCCTTTTCAAAGTTCATGTTGGTTTTAAGTTGTATGTTTGAAAGTTTCTCAGAAAAGAAATGGTGCAGCTCAGATGCTAAATTATCTCTATATAAAGGGTTTAGTCTGTCTGTCTATGTGTCTGTGTGTCTGTCTGTCTGTAACGCTCTTGGGGGCATGGCTCCCAGCGGGGCATGGCTTCAGCCAGTGCTGCATCAAGAATGCATGTCAGGAATGATGGGTAAGGCATGGCTCCAGTGGACATAGAGTTGGGGGGGAGAGGAGGGAGGGTGGATGGTGCGGGGCCAGACATGGAGTGGGGGGGGTGGCGGGGTGGTGCTGCTTTGTCCCCCCCCCCCATCTCCCTCGTTATTCTTGATGGGAATTTCACTAGTATATAAGACTGTGCACGTGGCAGTAAAGCAGGAAAGCACCTTGCTTTTGCACAGCTGCGGTGGAGGTAGCAGGAGACCATACCACTGAGAATCTAGGCTAGGACAGAATTGCAGAGCTCATGAGAAAGACATGGAAAGTCTTCTCAGAAACAATCTCAGAGCATTGTGAAATGCTACATCCTGCATGGGCAGGCAAGGTTTTTTGAGTAAATCTGATATCTTTTGTCAGACCAACTAAAATACATGGAAAAAATTTGTCTTTGCAAGCTTTTGGGTACAAAACATCCTGCACGTACCTTTTTGACTGTGGATGTGGTGTCTTGGCAGGATGTCCAGGAGATTGGGATGGTCTAAGTTGCTGGCCCAAAGCTGCTTTTGGGGAGGTGGTGAAAGTGGCCTGCCCAGGTTTTTTTGAAGAAATCACGAATATACATGGTAAGAATTGTTTTCCCCCCTTACTGTTCATATTCCTTTCTATTTTGAAACCAGATTATAATATCTATGATATCAAAGGTTATTATACTTCATGCATCAGGGTGTTAGAACAGGGCATACTCTCTCATGGTATAGATGACCACTGGGCACACTTTGGAGATTTTCTCTAAAGTGCTAGTTTTCAAATGTTGTTGGCCGTGCACTCCTTGACCTGCAAAATATTGCTGCTTGTACCCCCTGCACTGGATATATTTCTGCATGTTCAGTGTTGACACATGGCAATGCCAGTAATAACTGTGCATTGACCAATAAGGCCTCTGGCAGACAAAACACTTAAGGCACAGTTAGTTTTTTAATCATACCTTAAATAGTAAAATGGCCACATGTTCAGGAAATAAATGGTACCACAAAACGGGAAACCAGCCACAAAAATATTACACAAAAAACATGTAAACTGAATGTGTGGCTGGTTAGGAGCTCGCCATGGCCGGTTCAAGTCCCAGTATGGTCTCAGATCCAGCTGACAATGAGCTGATTGTTGGGCACCCGGCTTTCAGCTTGCTAGTGCAAGGGAAGCCTGGGATCATGGCAATTGGGGTATGATTTGGATCTGATACCTGATCCCAAAATCACAAATCCCAAAATCACAGATTCTGCCATGCATGTGATTGTTGGGATCAGGGATCAGATCCCATGGCACCTTTAAATGAACATCTGTTAGTGACATAAGAAGCTCTGTTGCCATTATTAAAATTCAGGTGCATACCCCTGGGAAAAGTCCTACCTATCCCCGGGGGTACATGTACTCCAGTTTGAGAAACAGAAGGTAAAAGCATTTCCCAACATAGATATGCTGTAACATTCAGGGTTAAATTTGGATTTGAATACATTTATTTCAATTTGATTTGAACTCTAAAGACCGAATCCTGAGGGTGTTGCATAACATCCATGTCATTCACTCTGATTTGATAAGTGTGAAAAATCAACATAAACATCTGAGTGAGGAGATTAAATCAGTCTCAAAATCTGGCAATAGGAACAATCAGTTTCTTCTCAGTATTAAAGGAAATGCATCATTCCCTGGTATGTTTTACTGTTGCAGGTTTCCTGCAGAGAAATTGTACGCAAGAAGCCTATTGGTCAGAACCATTTCCACCGTACTCTGTCGCTTGTGGATTTGATGAAGGTGCCAGTAAAGGGCCTGAAGATCAGGTCAGTACTGGCTTCTAAATAAATGTCTGCTTCTAGACACCCCCAGAGGTGTTTGAGTCATGAGCATCTCAAATCTACACCCTGCCAAGACCCTGCAAACTAAGCACTCGTCCTTCCGTGCCACCTGATGAGCTCAGTCCTCTTGGAAATCGACTTTGATGTCATGACTTTGCATGAAACATGGCAGTAGCAGTTGACAGTGTTGCCCCACTATTTTATCCAACAGCTAAGTGGTTACAATACTTCCAAGGAGTCAGAGATGTGGGTTCAGTTCCTTGCCCTGCCTGGGTCTGAATCAATACTTGTGGGTCGCGGAGGATCTGTACCCACTAACCTATAGGTCTTTTTGGGGGTGGGAAGTGCTTTGAGTCTCTCCTGTTTGAAGTCTTTGCACTTTGCCTAAAAGCTCTGGGCCTTATTGCAAGGTGCTGAAGATCGGTGACATGTTTTATGACCATGGCTCCCATCAGCTTTAGCAGAAATTGGAAGAATTCTTCCCCTTGGAGGACACGGCCCTTATTACACAGATTAGGGAAAAGCTATAACTAGGCACCTTCATAGATTCATAGATGTTAGGGTCAGAACAGACCTCAATAGATCATCGAGTCCGACCCCCTGCCTAAGCAGGAAAGAGTGCTGGGTCTAGATGACCCCAGCTAGGTGCCTATTCATCCAAATACCCACACAATGTCCTGGTTCAGATAGAGCCCATGTGCAATACACCTGTGTTTTGTTATTGTAAAAACTTGCAGCACAGGTTTTATATTTGCAAAGATAAATTGAGATTAAAATATCAATCACAATACTAAGTTCTTATAGCAGATGATTCACGGTTCACAGGCAGTTGTTTGGCATCTTTATAAAGCGTCCATTGGGTCTGTATAGAGCATCCACACACATCCACAACACTTCATAAATGGGGGTTAGGATCACTATTAAAACAATTTGAAAAATAGGAGGGCGTCATCCTCCTCTACCCCAAAAAGTGTTTTTGCTTTGGTTTGGTTTGGTTCGATTCGGTTTGGGGTTTTTGACCAAAGCTCCAAATTTTCCAAGGAAAGCTGACACTTTGCATACAAAAAAAAGATTAGCTGAAAACCCAATTTTCTATTGAAAACCATTTGGGAGAGAGCATTTTTCACTCAGGCCTAAATATCTGCCTTCTACAGGTTAGAAACTGAATCTCAGAGAAGCAAAGTGACTTCCCTGAGATAACCCAATAGGTGAATAGTACAGCCAGGTCTTGAACCTACATCACCTGAGCTAAACCCAAAAAAAGTCTAGTACCCCATTTGCAGGAAGGCATTTTGAGGAGATAAAATTAAGTATATTATCTAACAGCTGAGGTGGCTAGGGTGATCCTCATGGTCAATGCTGAAAGAAAATATTTTATTGCTTGTACGTTTTTTCCAAGGAAAATCCTGCCTCAGTGAAATGGGGCTAAATGCTGCATTTCCATCTATACCTGTCTATGTTCTCTTCTCATAGAAATCATATTATTCTGCTGTTTGGCATGTCTACACAGCCGGCTATGCGACCTCGCTGACTTCTCTCATCACAGCTGTCCTTGTCTTTGCTGCCTTCAGGTAACCCCTCAGTCTTTCAAGGTGTTTTGAGATAAATCAGCCTCATTCTACCCCTTTCATCCTTTGCTAACCCAAAGGAAGTTTTATAATCATGTTAAGACACCTGTCATGGACGCTATATTTCCACCCATGGTAGTCGATTCTCCCCCACTTGTGCTGTGACATTTTTCTGCTGACTCTAATACACAAGACCAGATTGAGGTTTTTATCTTTTTTTCCTGCTTTGATTCTTTTTAATGCTAGAGGTTATGTCAATGCAATAAAATCATGGATATTTCCCCCTGTTTGACTAAGGTGTTCTCTATCAGCTGTAGCAGAGAACATTTCTGGACTCTCTGTTACTTTAAGAAGAGAAGCAGCCCTGCCAGGGAGCTTTGCAGGTGAGGCAGGGGGCAGCTGCTGCTGGTTGCAGGGCCAACAGGGATAATAAAGCAATTATCCATCAGCCTAGGTAGTCACCTGACTAGATGTAGGCAGGGCCCTGGGTGCATATAAACCCAGGGCTTGACGTAGCCCTGCTAGCTGCTGTGCTAGGAGCTCCTGCCGAGGAGAAGCACCCAGGGGCACTGGTCACACTGCTTTGCTGCTCACAGGGAGACTTAGGCCCCAGGAGCTCACAAGAAGCCAGTCTGGGATGTATGCTGGCCCAAGAATGAAAGGAGGTTGGCCCTCTTAAAGGGGCCAAGGGCTGCTCTTATTGTTTTGTTTATGTTATAGCCCAGAGCCTTATGTTACATTACTGTTTCTGCAGGTGGACTGGGATGGGACTGTAAGGGGAGGTGGAGGCCTCATTAGTGCCCAGGGGGCACTCGACTGCCTTGAGCCCCAGGGCCCAGGGGCCCAGCAACAAAGGGTGCAGCCACAGAGGGGCCAGGGGCCTGGCATACAGGAGCCAGTGACTGGAAAGGACAAATGAAGCTAGTGACTCAAAGCCAGGTCCAATTCAGTGGGCCCAGGTTAGAAGGCCTAGAAAGACTAAAGGGGCAGAAACCAAGGAAGCCAAAGCCACAACAGAGAGGCAACATACCTGTAACACCCATGAGGCATAGGGCATGGTAAAGGGGATGATTTCAAGCCATGCAATTAGCCTTTAAGGCTTTGGATGCCCTGTTGGGCACAGCCAACTACAGAGACCAAGCGCAACTAAGGCCAGTGGGCAGCCTTCCTATTTATTATAAATACCATCAAGGTGTGGCAAGCGAGATAGGAGGGTGCCCTAAGGCAGAGCAAGGCACAGTTGTGGAGCCACCAGAGGGTGTCATGGCCACCCCTGGGACCTCAACATTTCATACAGCATGGTACCCTTGAAGACTTCAACCTCCAGTCTTTCAAATCGGTTGGCTCTCCTCAGAGAAGCCTATCACTGCCACTAAAGATCATGGGAGCAATGCACAAGGACTGAGGGGGGAAAAAGTCATAGAATCATAGAAAATTAGGTTTGGAAGGGGCCAATTAGAGTTGGAAGGTGTCATCTATTCTAACCCCTTGCTCAAAGCAGGACCAGCACCAACTAGATCATTCCAGCCATGGTTTTGTTGAGTCGGGCCTTAAAAATCTCCAAGGATGGAGATTCTACAAGCTCTCTAGGTAGCCCATTCCAGTGCTTCACCACCCTTGTAGTGAGAGAGTTTTTCCTAATATCCATCTTAAATTTCCCTTGCTGCAACTTGAGACCAGTGCTCCTTGTTCTGTCAGAGCTTTACATGTGCTGATTTTAGATGTTAGAAAATAGAACCCTTTATTTCTAGGCCATTAGTACAAATGCAGTCCTGGTTAGTAACAACAGGAAGTTACTACTGGTTCTCAACACAGTAGCCTGTGGATGGAAACCCAATCCACTGACCCTTGGAATAAGTGAGGAGAAGTGAGGCCTTTCCATGCACTCCCGCAGGCTTGAATCAAGCCCCAAGTTGTCTAACGGGATAGGAATGTGCAGTACAACTATACTTCCATAAGGGGCACTAATTGGTATCATCAGTGGTGATCTCTATAGAGAAGCCAAGGGCAAAAGGACACTGAGCTACTCCAATGCCCCCAGAAGCAGCTTTCAATATTGAGATGCGCAATCAGGGTAGTATAGGGTCATGTTGCCCTTCTGGCCCTGCCTTATCACTCCTTTGCAATGCACCCTCCGCTTGGTGGGTGCTCTGGCTCCTTCATCTTGTATATGTAGGGTAATGAGTCAGGTGCAGGCTTGCTTAACAAAGTTGGATGTTTTAGTTCAAGGACTAGAAGCTGATAGTTTTAGATCCAGCAGTCCCAAATGCAATCCCTACTGTAAGGAATGCCCTTCACAAAGCAGGGCATTACAGATTGAAGCTCTCATTCTCCAGGATTGTCAATATTCTTGACATTAATTCCCCCTCCGTTTTCAAAGACGACCTCCCACCTTGTGCTAACTACCTCCTTAAATATGGCTACTGCACTTATATGCCATGGGAGGGGGCTTTTTTAAGGCTGAATTTATTTTAATTTGGGGCTCTGATGGAGGAGGCTAAACTTTTGAGGAATGGTTTTCTTGTTTTTTTTGCCATTTCAGAAAATTCCACTGTACACGTAATTACATCCACATGCACCTCTTTGTTTCCTTCATCCTGAGAGCCATTGCTGTTTTCACCAAAGATGCTGTCCTGTTTGCAGATGAAAACATGGACCACTGCCTTATGTCAACGGTACCTATCTTTTCTTCTCTCTGTTTCATTTGATGCTTGGTCTTTATTTGGGAAGGAGATATGGATATTTCTTAATTTGGCCCGATAGTTTGATTATGGGGAATGAGTGCATATTTCAGGGGGGAATGGGTCTGAATTAATATAGGAAATCGTATCACAAACACAAAGAAATCAGAAGGTCAAAGGTCCACCTGAGCTTACCAAATCTTAGGCCTAATATGGTTAAGGCATGCCAGTATCCGTTGCCAACAGCACACAAAGGAGTGATGTGGCTCATATCAAATCCCACTGCCTTGGACTTCCCAGGCCAAAAAGTTAGGAGCCATTTACAGCTGGGTCAGTTAGAGGTGGCCTTCATCATGGCTGAAGCAAGACTCACATTCATATATCTGAAGCTGAGAGAGTCCTGAACTGTTCTACCCCTGCCCCTAGAGAAAGAAATGCCAAAGCCCACCTCGGCCAGAGAAATGCCAAAGTCCAACACTGATTTCAAGGGGTTTTGGAGCCTTGCCCTATGCAAGCTCATATTAATTTCAAGTCAAAATTCTCCAGCTTTGCCCAGGGCCTGAAAAACCACAGATTCAAGAGACTGGAAGTAATGTTCTCCTTTCCCATGTGTTTCTAGGTTGCATGTAAGGCGGCTGTGGCCTTCTTTCAGTTCAGCATTTTAGCCAACTTCTTCTGGCTCCTGGTAGAAGGGATATACCTGCAAACGCTGCTTCTGTTGACCTTTGTTTCTGACAAACAGTATGTGTGGTGGTTCATTTTGGCTGGCTGGGGTTAGTACAATCCTTCCTTTTATTGTATGCTTGCCTCACATTTGTTTCCAGAGCAATACAAGAAATAGCTTGTGAAATGCCTTTTTTTTGGTTGAAAATGGCTTACAAGATAGCAAGAGTTCAATAAAATGGCAAGTATATTTTTTTCCTATTTTACTAAAACATTCCCAGTTTTTTGGAAAAAAAAAATATTTCAGTCAGGTTTTGCAACACATCCATGGGGTAGATGAGTATTGTTACTTCTAATAACTGCACTGAGGGAGTTGTTTCAGACTGCAGAAATAGTGGTATCGCAGGCTCAGCATTGCAAAGCAGAAGTGCCCAAATGTAATGGACACTTAAAATGTTTGGTCTCAGGGGCAAAATTTTGGCCTTAATTACGTCAATGCGAACTTTTCATTCTCTTCCAGTAGAGGCAGGATTTGACATGAGGTGCCAGAACTTGTCCTGAATCTAAGATGTTTAAATGGCACTTGCACAACTTGTAGGCATCCTGGGCACTAAACATATTCTACTCTATCCTGGGTAGAAGTCACAAACCCATGAAGATTCCCTCTACATCTGCATTTTGACCTCCCTAGGCCGCTACCCCTGCTTATCACGCAAGCTCAGAAGTAATTCTGAATGTCCAACTAGATGTCTAACTCCCCCTCAGGTGTCTGGGAAGGGTAGAGGCTCCACATTAAGCCCCCTATTCTTTAGATGGAGAAAAACCCTGCTGGGTTGAAGCTGAGATCATGAGTGCATCAAGGAGAAGAACCCACTTTTGCCCAATTGTATCTTTGGCTCTTTTCCTTGAACTGGGGTATCTGCATTTTAGCTCTTCTTGCCCTCTTTCTGCTCTGCACAGGCCAAACCTGGAAATGAAGGATGGGAATCTTCCTATGAGGACCTGCCACCACTGATCTCAATACCTCTGTCTCCAATATGTGACAGATCATCATGGAAGTGGTGATATAAATAGGCCGTTAGAAACCGAATAGTATCTAGGCCCCAATGCTTAACCCTGTATTTGAAACACTTCCACTGAGAATCCCCACTTGAAAATCTGCATAAGCCTTGGTTTCCTGGGCTGCTTGTACACACCACAGTGGTTTAATTTGGTTTAGTTCTTCCTAAATTGAAACAGTGGGTTTCTAAAAACAAGGGTGGGGTGTGTGTGTGAGCTGCTGGCAGGTCCCTCCCAACGGAGTTGTGGGAGAGGCAGGTAAGCTCCAGCACCCCTGCACTGTCCCCGCCACCTTCCTGCTGCCGTCCCACTATTTGGGACTGCGCAGGACTGGCTGGCTTGCCCCTGGGGCAGAGCAGCAAGGCGGCAGGAGGGTGGCTAGGTGTGCTGGTGGTGGGAGAAGGCAGCGGGGATGGTGCACGGCATGCTGGAATCCCACCAAGTCCTGAGCACAATGGCTTCCAGCACCACGTGCGCTGTTGCATTTTGTTAGATAGCAAACTAAAACACCTCAGAGGTGTTTTATCTTGCTATATTACAAAATCATTTAAAGCGGAATATGCCACCAAGCGTGCAAACAGCAACACCATTTAAGCGGTTCAAAAGGGCATATAAGCTGCTTTAAAGGCCAATTTTGTGGCATGTCCAAAGGCCCCTGATCATTAAATAAGAGGAAACAAGAGTTTCTGTTCTCTTCAGGTCTTTCTGAGGCCTGATTAACTAAGGCTTGTAAATAGCCATCTAAAAGCGAACAAAGATAAAAGAGGTGGGACTAAAATGTGCAGTCTTATGTTATAAACCATTGGATAGAGGGTTAGAGAGCATTTGCCAGTTAAGTTGGCTACTGTGTACAGTCATGAGTCTTCATCACAGATAAATAACCTCTCCCGTCTGCTCTGCTGAGAGCTACATTGCCAAAGGGCTGGAACTATCTACCCAGACAATTCTAGAACAAAACACTTATAGCTAGATCCCTATAAGTGATTTATTGCGCCATACAAAAGCTTGTCATTCATCTGCAAATCTTCCTTTATCTCTTTCTCAGTGGCCCTCTATCCCTCTTCTAATCTCCGGTTAAAATAGATTTTTGTTCTTGCTTTGTTTTCTCATTTCCTTATGCACCTCGATTTCATTAGCCTTTTATTGAACTGATAAGCAAAAGTTTTCATTAATTCGTTTTGAGATTATCTGACACCTTTGCCAGGAATTGATTGTTGTACCTTGTTGGCCACTTCATAGCTCTGTTAAGCAGTGCGGATATCATGTGCCTGGACTACCCTGTGCAAAGTGAAACCATGTTATATTTGTTTCAATTCTTTTAGGGGCTCCCACTGTTGTGATGTCTGCTTGGATTGTAACCAGAATCTACAGACAAAATACAGGGTGAGCCAGAAGCATGGTTGGGATGGGAGAGTATCCTGTTTTGCATATTAAATTGCATTCATCAGCAGGGAAACACTGAAACAATGAAAATTTAAGCTTAAGATTCTGCATCATTTATATTTAAAATGTAGAAATTGGTACATTAGATAATTCATTTTAAAAAGCCTTCCACTTTTGATCTATGTACCCGCAGTTCTGCAAACTCAGACGCTTTTGTCATAAATCTCACCATTTTTATTATTCCTAAAGCCCAAGCTCCTGGAATCGCAATAGTGGAAGCAAGCCTCTGCTTCCATTTAGAAACAGAAGGGTTAATCTCTCCCGGAGTTGCAAAGAAAAGCTTGAAAAAAACAAACCAAGTGTCCCCCCAAGCAGCTATTTTTAAAAAAAAAAGCAGAACACTAATAAAAATAACCCAATAATTATTATTGTTGAAAAACCACAGTGCGTAAGTTGGTCATAGATTTTGGGGAACCAGTATGAAATTTGGGTAGCTGGTCTCAAATTTATGTAGTATTTGGTGTTGGGAATGGGATCTCTGAGCTCTTGAGTTTGTAATATTATGCTCTGTGTTTTAACTGTGTGAGCTCTAGGACTCCTCTCCTCTGTGCTTTCGCACACCTCACTGTTCTTGATTAAAGGACTTCGTATTCTTGCCAGACCTGTCTCCTGGCACAATCTTCCTTTAGCTCTCGGTTTCAGGCTTTTTTCATAGAGGCAGCATCACCGCGTGCATGCTTCTCAACACCTCCCTACTATATTTTAGCTACAATGAACCATTACTGGACGTGACATAATAGCTAAATGTTTCATCCCCTTTGTCCTTCATTTATTTATCATGTTTTCTTGCATACAAAACTATAATACGCAACTTGTTTTGGAAAGGCAAAATGATGGGGAAAAAAAAGATTTTTCCAGAGTATAGAGCAGGGACAGAGCTTGAACGTCAGCTGACTCACCCTCCCTTTCCTGCTTAACTAAGGCTGAAACCCTAGCTGCTGCTCAAGACTGGTCTGCATCGGCAGGTCTGTGATTTTGAAATGAGCTAAAGAGATGTGCAGTAGAAGGAGAGAGTACCAAGAGCAGCTAGCAGAAAACCAGATTGCCTTAAGAAAGGTTAGCATGGTAAGTGTAATATTGAGACCATTGAAAAGGAGAGATGATCATTAACGCCTGTAGAGTGAAAAATAATGGACTCCCTCAGCTGCCCGAATAGTAATAGCACAGATGCTGCACTGTGGAACAGGAATTAAACCAGGTCACTTCTATTGCAGGCAGAAAATCAGCTTCCTTGATTAATACACACACTCCAGCTTTGGAGGTCTGATTTGGGGGAAAAAGGTACATATTGTTTGAGAAAATAAGCTAATACACTTATTAATAAGGAGCCACATATGAAGGTCTAATGGTCACAAACTGCTGGAAGACCATTTTAGACTGGGCATTAGGAAAAAACTTTACCATCTGCATCTCCAGAGTCTGGAATAGACTCCCGGCAGAAGTGATGCAAGCACCTACCCTGGATACCTTTAGGAAACACTTGGATGCTTATCTTGCTGGGGTGATCTGACCCCAGCTGCCTTTCTGCCCCTGGGGCAGAGGGCTGGACCCGATGACCAGATGAGGTCCCTTCCAGCCCTAATGTCTATGAAATCTGTGAAGCAGAGATTTGCTTGGAGCTGAACTACTAAAGAGGTGTGAGATAGTAACAATTTCTCCTCAAGCAGTCCAATTAGGATCCACGCTGCCAGTGTAGAAGTGATAGGATGTAAAGCCCATTGCTATGCATGTGGCTTGCAGCGATCTATCAGCATTATTCATTTTAACTCATGTTGCACAGTGCTGTGAATGGTAGTATGCATTGTCGTTTCAGTTCTTCATCCATCTTCTTTTAGTGTGTGTTTGTTTAGTGCAGGGGTGGGCAAAATGCAGCCCACGGGCTGGATGTGGCCCGTCAGTCCACTCTATCTGGCCCGTGGGGCCCCTAAAAAATTTAGAAAATTAATATTAATCTGCCCTGGCCTGCCTGTCATTTGGCCCTCGATGCCTTGCCAAAACTCAGTAAGTGGCCCTCCCCCCAAAATAATTGCCTGCCCCTGCTTTAATGCATGCTTCTCCTGGGTCGTCTCAAGTGCAAAAGGAATGTTTTTACCCTGTACATCCTTGCCCTGGTAGGTGAGGCGGGGTGCAGAGGATGGAGGAAGACAACCAAACAACTGCAAGACAAGCGGAGAACAAAAAACCCTACAATCCTGCAGTTCTTCCTCTTGCTATATGACCTTTTCTTGCACTGGGCCGTATTTAGGAGAAACGCTGGAGGACCTTTTGGGAGATACTTTTAAGTTGCTCGTGTCGTTAGTTAAGAATATTGACTTCTTGTAGCACAACTCGGATTGTTTAATATTCAAAAGAAAAAAAAATCGAGGGCGTTCATTTGATCCCTTTGGTTTCCTCTTTCAGGTGCTGGGATGACGACGAGGAGAATGGGATGGTGTTATGGATCATCCAGGGACCCATCCTGCTGACTGTATTAGTGAGTCTTACCTCTGGGGGGCTAAATGCTTTGAAAACTGAAAGCCAAGCCTGTCTTGTCCCAGAAAGACAGGGATGCAGGGCTACATGTGGCATTTGCTGTTTTGAAGTTTCAGAGGCTGGAAATTGTTGCTCAGCTCTTGCTGTCTTGCAAATGGAAGACAGATGAGCATCAGTTGGATTGCAACTCTCAGACAAACCGGGGGGAAAATCATTGTCCCGGTTCCTTGGCTTCAGCAGAGCAATAACACAAGCAAGTCATGCGGATACAAGGGCAGCTCATGTGGGCACCAGTGCAGGGTCTCACAAGGGGAGGATACAAGGTGAATTACTAAAGGTTAATGCAAGGAATATGCTGAGATGAAGCCATTCTTAAATGCTCTGTGCATGATCACTGGTTGCACTTCTTCCAGTACAGGAGAGTTTGGCTTTAAGGGCTTATTCTTACCTTTGGTACTCAGATTCAGTTTATAGAGTACATAGACCAAACCATCTGCTTGGCACATTGTGTATTAATGTGTCTGAAGACATAATGTGCCTCCTAACAGAGATGCAGGATTCCCAACTGGCATGTCCAGTACTACTAATAATACAGGCCATTGTAGTACAGGGCTGTGATGTACCTAGCTATTTATCTTTTATATATCTACTGCTTCTCTTTCTCTCTCCAAATCACTGAAGAACAAGTTTCCTCTCCCCAGACACTTTTAAGCCTCTTCTCCATTGTTTTTTTCTTGTGAACTTTGGAATAGAATCTTTAGGATCAATGTTAAAAATGATCCTTTGTTCACATAAGTAAGACGCTTGGATGTTTGACTATCCTTGGGAGTTAGGTTGGAAAATTTGAGAAAGGACCTCCTTGAATCTTTATGCTCCTAAAATACATTTAAAGATGTAGCCCCTATTGACTTGAAATCCTGTTTCAGAATATGGTTTGGCAGAACAGTGTGGAATTGGCCAATATTTTCAATTGCAGCACCTAACTATTAGTGCCTAAAACTATAATTAGGTATCTAGATCCAACTGGCCTGATTTTGGCTTTGAGCAAGTAAGCTCCAAACAAAGTTACTGTAGAAGCTCAGCATCATCAAAAACGTGCTTTATACCAATGTAAGGGGGGAAAAAAAGGCAGTGGATGCACAAATTATCCTGAAAAAAAAACAGGTGTGAACCACCCCAGTGTTAGTTATGTGCTGCATACTCAGATTTATCTTGAGGTAGACATTCTCGATTGGTGATTTTCTGCTCAACTGCCCCTCCAGTGTCTGTGTGCTGTAATAGCACTTACTGGACTAACTGGCTAGTTCTTCACTCTGGATTTTATGCCACTGTGGAAAATTGGGTAATTTATGTCACGGTGCAAAACGGATGTACATTGCCGTAGAGTAAATGTGTTTTGCATCCAGGTTCTCAAGCCACGTTTTATCTAGTTGCCTTGAAAAAAGGATTTGTCTGCTGAATTTAATTTGACTTAGAAAATGTTGCATCTATGATTCACATGAATTGAGTGCCAGGTTCTCAGTGGCAGTTGTTATAGCTCCTTGGACTTTGACGGATTTGCATGATATGACACCATTTAAGACCTGGGCCTGAAAGTTGGGAAGTTTAGTAGTTTCATCTTGTCTTTTCAGGTTAACTTCATTATATTTGTAAATGTGATCAGGATTCTAGTACAAAAATTAAAAACACCTGAGGTTGGAGGCAGCCACTCCAGCCATTTTTTGTAAGTAATGCTATTTCCTTCTATTCTCTCCCTTGGGATTTGTTTTAAAGCACAGCTTACTGAGGGGTGCAACATGGGCTCCTTTTCACTAGCAGGGGAGTGGTGGCCAGAAAAGAAATCCAAAGTATAGTCCCCTTCTCATTTCCAAGGTATGCATGGGTAACAACACTCTTGTTTCTTGGGTGAAACAGAAGACTCCAATATAAAGTCCTTTTGTTGCTAGGTCACCCATTAGGTTCAAGTGAAAGTCCATCTGGTAACAAACTATAAACGGGATAATACTTATTTACAGGTTCACCCTAAATCGCCTAAGCTGGCCACTTCTTGCCTAGTTCTCATTGTTTGTACGTCAGCTAAGCCCTGGAGTTTAATCAGCTCAGAATTAAATTCTTTCCAGACATGCAATTCTTCCCATTCTGATTTCCTTTGCATACCTAACGAGCCCATCTGGAGAGACTCTGACACCTCTGAAGGATATTTCCCAGGGCAATTAGTGGCTCAGTGGCTTGACAAAGCTACAGCAATTTGATTCTTGACTGACAGCCCAAATGATACCAAATGCATGTTTGATGTTCTCTATGGAATGAGTTAGTGATCTACATCCATTTTGTAATGGATAGATGGCCATACCAGAACACCTGCCTTTATAAGCAGCACTGACCTGACACCCACACCAGCTGTCACAGGAGAGAGAAAAAAGGTGGCAAAATCAGACAGAGTGAATGTCCCAATCATGACTAAAGATAGTTCATCGTGTCCTTCTGACATATACTGACTTGCAAGAGAAAGGATAGCTCCAGTCTAGTTCTGTCCATTGCATATGTTTTACTGATGTACATTTGCACGGGCAGTATTGTAAACATGTCTTCTCTGTGTGATGCTTTTTGTTTTCTAGGAGACTAGCTAAATCCACACTACTTCTGATCCCACTCTTTGGAGTACACTATATCGTATTTGCTTTTTTCCCAGAAAGCACTGGATTGGAAGCTAGACTTTATATGGAGCTAGGCTTGGGCTCCTTCCAGGTATGACAAAGGAAGTATTAATAATATTCACCACTTTTATCAGCCCCCCCTAGCATGACTGAGCATCTTATTTGGTGTCATAAGAAGATAAGCAAATGGATTAGAGAGCTGCATGTAACTCATTCCAGACAACAGTAATAATAGAAGTTTAAGAGAAATACTTTAAAATATATGGTGGAATAATACTGGCCGTTATCCTTTACTAATAATGCATCCACCTATTATTGTCAGCGTTTATATCTCATGTTTCTGGTTAAACCAGCAGCTATTTCTAAATGCTCAAGAAGCAACTTTGGACATGACTGCTTGCTCCATCCTCTCTTCTTGCTAAATAGGTCTTTGCCTTGAGAAGTTGACCTTGCTGTTTTTATTGCTTGGAGACTGTCTGACTCATGAGCTCACGATGGAGCTTATCTTTAAATGTGGAAGCTGAATCTCACAGTAGAAGGAGGTATCCTGTGGGGTTCCTCAGGAGCCTGTCTTGGGTTGAGTACTGTTCAACATCTTCATTAATGTTGTGGAGGATTGAGTTGAGGGTGCACTTGGGGAATTTGTAGATGATGCCATGGTGGGTGTGGTAGCAGACCCTTTAAAGAATAGAGTTAGGATTCAAGGTGACCTTGGGAAATTTAGGAAAACGGTCTGAAATGAATTGGATGAGATTCATTAAGAACAAAAGCAAAGTTCAACATTTGGGGACAATCAAATGCACAAGTACAAAATGGGGAATGACAGTCTATGCTCCAGTATTGTAGAAAATAATGTGGGAGGGACACAGTAGATACACGGCTGAGTCTTGTTCAGCTTGTTACTGCTGTGCCCAAAGAATGGTGCATTGGAATTAATTAACAGGAGTGTCACATACAGTGATGGAAACCTATTCTTTGACTCTGTTCAGCACTACTGAGGCTTTTCTGCCAGCTCTGGGGCCAGTTGTAAGCATTTCATTTCAAGGAAGATGTAGATAAATTGTAAAGAGGTCTAGAAAACATGCCTTACAAGGAAAGGTTGGAAGAAGTGACACTATTTAGAAGAGAGGAATCTAGGCATTTGGTAAGTCTTTCAATGAAGGGGATGGTTATCAACCGTTCCGTGTTCATAGGGAATAGAATTAGTAGTAATGGGTTGACATTATACCAATGGAGATTTTGGGTGCATGTGAGGATAGTTAAATATTGGAGCAGATTACCTGGAGAGGCTGCGTTATTTCTTTCAGTGAACATTTTTAAGTGAAGGTTAGACAAATTGCTTTAAACAGAGATCCCGCCTTAAGCAGGACTGGATGACTTTCTGAGGTCTCTTCCAGTCCTATTTCTCTATTATTCTATGATTAAACTGGTGCTAGACATGTACTGTCCAGATAGTGAGTATATTGGGAACACCTTTTATCAGATGCATGTTCTGCACTGGTTGTCTGTTGTTGTTTTATTTTGGGGTTTTTTTCCATTAAGAAGGATCAAAATAGAGACGGGCTGACAAAGCCTTTGCAGGCTGTTGGTTTGTAGCTGGATTTCTGTTAAGTGATTAGGTTGATGATGATGTTTTATATAATTGCACAGCTTTCAGGCAATCAAAATTCCTGGCACGGGTCGTAGGGTTATGGAAATTTGCCACGGTTGGACTTCTCAACCACCTAAGTCACTTAGCTATACTTCATACTTTTCCAACCTCAGCTGGTCCAAACCCTAGAGAGATGCTGTATGTGGGCACTTACCAAGACTTACACCATGCAAAGGGGAAGGTATTGTATGGGAGCACTTACCAAAACTTATACTGTGCGAAGGGGAAGATGCTATATGGGAGCACTTACCAAACCTTGTACCGTGCAAAGGGGAAGCATAGGATAGACATCTGGTACATCTCCTATGGACAATCAAAGTGGCTTCTCTGCAGGCCTTCCATGACTGGCCCCCGGGAGGAGTTGCCTGAGGTAGGGACCAGAATCAGGATGCTGTCCTGTTTGTTCAGGACTTCAGCAAGGCCTTTGACACTGTCTCCCACCCCAATCCTCATTAAAAAAGTAGGCGACTGTGGCATCGATGCCTACACAGTCAGATGGATTTCAAATTGGCTGAAGGGTCGTACTCAGAGGGTGGTGGTGGATGGGTCATATTCGACCTGGGGGGAAGCGGGCAGTGGAGCCCCCCAGGGCTCAGTCCTTGAGCCCGCGCTGTTCAACTTCTTTATCAGCGATTTGGACGATGGGGTGAAAAGCAACCTGTCCAAATTTGCTGATGAAACCAACATTTGGGGTGAGGTGGG